GATGGACCTCCAGACTCGCAACAGAACGAGTAAAAGGCAAAGATCTAGGTACTGAGACGGAAATGAAATATTTACCCTCTGGGGAATTGTTGGACTTTGAAGAAGTAGAGAGGTGAAGGGAAGGAGCTGTTGTGCGAGGTCTTGTAGGCATAGAAGCTTGCATGTGAGATGAAGATTGGAGAACAGTAGGAGGTGATGAGGTAGGGACCTCAGAGTCCAGGATTACAAAAGAGTTAGACACAGAAGTGACTGTGGAAGGTGTGACCATGGGGAAGACCGTGGGAATTGGGACCCCAGAGGTTGGGGGTCTCTTAGTTGTAGATGAATGGTTCAAAGAACCGACATGTTAGACGCATGTGCAACTCTTAAGCTGCTTCTCCGCTCCTATGTCGTATTCTATTCAAGATTGATGGACTGACCACATCGACTCAAGGCTGAGGGACTGATTACCTCATTCTCCTCCTGTTCTTCAAGTTTATCCTTTGTATGGACTGATGAAGCCACTGTGTGGCGAAACGTTTCCTCATTAAGGATACCCAAGAGTTGCACATGCGTCTAATTTAACAACGGGTCTCTTAGTAACACGAGAATAAGAAATACGGGGAAGTCTTCCCTGGAGGCCTAGATGAGAAGGTGTCATGGCATAAGTAAAGCCTTCTGTCTCCTTGAGACAATGGATATCACATTCATTCAAGTAAACCTTGCAATGACGAGTATAAGATGGATGAGCTTCTTGACAATTAAGGCAGGAGGGAAGTAAACCACAAGATGTATTGGTATGGTCATCAGCACCACAGACTGGGCATTCAGCCATGGAGCTGCAGTATTTTGCCGGATGGCCAAAACGCCAACAATTTCTACACTGTTGTGGTGTAGGGGTCACCTGTCGGACTTGCAAATGGTATCCTGCAAACCAATAGTCAATGTAAACTGGTAGTCAAAAGTTAAGTAAGCTACATTGCAGGGATAGCTTCTCCACCCGCAGGCAGGCAGTACATACGTGTCTACTTTAAGGATCAGGAGGCCTTGGAGCTCAAGCTGTTCCAGAATGTCACAACCACACGTCTGGAAATTATGTTGAACAATGGTATGTGGTACAATGACAGTACCACTGCAAGAATTGAGAGAATGATGTTTTTCTGTTGTTACAGGAATGGCATCTATGGTTGTAAAGAGAGCGCTCGTAAGCTTGGCTAGCATTCTGTACTGTGACGATGCGTCCCACCACTCTTGAGAACATGAAACGGAATATTACAACTAACGTGGCGTATAAGAGCCCCTTTGCTGATACTATGATCAGAAAGATATTCTAAAGAAGATTGTCGGTTGTTACAGTGAAAAAAAAATTTCGTCCATTTGTTTCTATGATGCGTAAGAAATGTAAAGGAAGTTGATTGTAGTGTTGGTCTTTTCTGAGTACAATGGGAAGGCAGTCGAAATAGTGTCATCAGAAGAAGGTTGTGGTAGTTTAGATACAGGACCAGAGATGGTCCGTTTTGAGGTGGGCATGCGATCTGAAAACCGTTGCACCACATGGGGAGAGGCCAGAAGCGTAGTCAAAGATATGCAGAGGTCAGAGGTGTCAGAGGAGTCAAGCTGTCCTCTGCATCTGGAGTGTGCAACAAAATGTCACTCGCAGAAGATACAGGGGCTGTGGAAAGGTCCGAAGAATGGTCCGGTAACGAGGGTGCTGCTATAGGAAGGGGCCCAGGAGGAGAAGGTACATGGACTTAGGACCCCATGGTTAGGACTCTCTTCTTTTTAAGAAAGAAAAGGGGGGGGCGTGGAGGGGCAGCTCCCAGGGCGTAAGGACCGCAAATCTCCCCTTCCGTACCCAAGAGGACAACCTCAGTGCAGCTGGTAGTGCAGATGCAGCATGAAACCCGTGCCATACCCTACCCTTCAAGCCAGAAAACCAGTAATCCGGGATAGCAAGCTCACATCTACGGAGCCACCTCGGTGGACAAAAGGGAGGGCAGTCGGAAACTCCCCACAAAGCATACCTCCTTCGGCCACCACCTCCTGGAATCAGACAGGCAGCCTCCAGAGATACACCAGTCACCTGAAAGACACCCGAAGCCTCCCTTCCCCCGGGAGACTGGAAGGGGATCGGGATCTCTAGATGATCCAGATTCCACGGCAAACTACACTACCACCAAGGACCTCAACGGAATTAGATGGACCCTGAAACCTCTTCTCAGGTCTAGGAACTACAAAGGCTATGGGAAGAACCTCAAAGGTAGGACAGTAGAGGGATGGGGATGAGGAGGAAATGGAAAGGGGGAATTGAGGGGTAATTAGGTTCAGTCTGAGGAAGAAGGCCAATAGTCTCTTCACCGTGCCAAGGAGACCCCCGTGAAGAAGATAGTAATGATAGGAACTATGTTGAGTTAGGCATAAGAATCAACAACTGGGCGTCTACACTGCAAACTGAATTGTTGGTCATCCTACTAGTGCAAAAGTTAACTTATGACGCTGAGCTTGACTATGATTATTGATTCTATGTCATCACTGAAATTTCCTGGCTCACATAGTGACTAACAATATGCTCTTTGAAGAAGCCAGATATAGATACCCCAAGACACCGAGAAAACGGAATTAATGAAAAATTTTTATGGATTCCGTCACACACTAAATTACGTCTTCATAATAAAGTTGATAAGTTAGTCATAGAAAGTACACTGAATAGAACTTTGGTATGTCTGTGTCTAGCATTAGGAATATTAAGAGAAAAGTAAATAATGAAACAATGTTATAGGAATACAGTTAGAAGCCTGAGTAGAAGCCCGAGAATGCAGATGTAATATACAAAGACTTCGTGAAAGCCTTTGACAAGTGTGACCATGGTGTAATAGTGCACAAAATACGCGATAAAGGAATACCAGGAAAAGTCGGTAGATGGATCTATAATTTCGTAACAAATAGAACACAAAGAGTAGTAGTCAACAGAGTAAAGTCTGAGGTGGCTACGGTGAAAAGCTCTGTTCCACAAGGCACAGTAATCGCTCTCATCTTGTTCCTCATCCTCATATCGGACATAGACAGGGATATAAGCCACAGTGCAGTGTCTTCCTTTGCAGATGACATCCGAATTTGCATGACAGTGTCCTCCATTGCAGACACTGCAAGACTCCAGGCGGACATCAACCAATTCTTTAAATGGGCTGCAGAAAACAATATGAAGTTCAGTGATGAGAAACTCCAATTACTCCGATATGGAAAACGTGGGAAATTAAAATTTCATCGGAGTAAAAACAAATTCCAACCACACAACAGAGCGAAAAACTAATGCCAAAGACCTGGGGGTGATCATGTCAGAGGATCTCACCTTCAAGGACCGTAACACTGTCAATCGCATCTGCTAGAAAGATGACTAGATGGATAATAAGAACCTTCAAAACCAGGGATGTAAAGCCCATGATGACACTCTTCAGGTCGCTTGTTCTATCTTGGCTGGAATATTGCTGCACACTAACAGCACCTTTCAAGGCAGGTGAAATTGTTGACCTAGAAAATGTACGGAGAGCCTTTACAGCACGCATAACTGCGATAAATCACCTCAATTACTGGGAAAGCTTGAAGTTCCTAAACCTGTACTCCCTAGAACACAGGAGGGAGAGATATATGATTATATACACCTGGAAAATCCTAGAGGGACTAGTACCCAACTTGCACACGAAAATCACTCCCTACGAAAGCAAAAGACTCGGCAGACGATGCAACATCCCCCCAGTGAAAAGCAGGGGTGTCACTAGCACGATAAGAGACAACACAATAAGTGTCAGGGGCCCAAGACTGTTCAACTGCCTCCCAGCATACATCAGGGGGATTACTAATAGACCCCTGGCTGTCTTCAAGCAGGCACTGGACAGGTACCTGAAGTCAGTACCTGACCAGCCGGGTTGTGGCTCGTACGTTGAATTACGTGCGGCCAGCAGTAACAGCCTGCTTGATGAGGCCCTGATCCACCATGAGACCTGGTCACAGACCGGGCCGCGGGGTCGTTGACCCCTGGAACTGTCTCCAGGTATAGATCTATAACTTAGTTTAACATGAACGTAGATAAGTATTACCTGGAGAGGGTTTCGGGGGTCAATGTCTCCGCGGCTCGGTCTGAGACCAGGCCTCATGGTGGATAAGGGTCTGATCAACCCGGCTGTTACTGCTGGCCGCACGTAAGCTGACGTACGAACCACAGCCCGGTTGGTCAGGTATTGACTTTAAAGGGGCCTGTCCAGTGCCTTCTTGAAGACACTGTGAACAGACTGATGTTGTAGTGGGCCCGGTTTAGGTTTGGTTACCGCTACTTCTGGTAGTTTGGCAGACACACAAATGGTGATCAAACTAAATGCAAATTTTTTTAGCCAGCCCTTTGGCCACTATCTTGAACACTTAATTGTCCCACTTACTAAGACATATAGAGGGCAGTATAATTACATAGGTGATATGACAAGGTGTCTTATTAATGAAAATAAGATACCAGACATATATTAGGCAAATTTCCTAAATCTGCTTGCCCAAAAAGATAAGTGAACTGTTTTCTATAAATCCATAATATACTTTGGTAACCCTTTTAGGGCCTAGTTCCTAGGTCTTTTTTTGTATTCCCAATGCTTTTACACTACCGTCCACAAGATGAATATTGGGTGCCCCAGCAAATTAGCCACTTCGGTGGCAAAATCTGAAAAAAAAAATCTAAATCTAGCTTAAACACAAGTGATCACAAATAATATTACCTGCAAGGAAGAAGGTGAACTGTTGCAAAATAGTGTTGGTACTAGTACTTAGTGTTGCATCAAGGTAGATGTAGCAACAGTAGCGTTACCAGCTAGCAAAAATAGCCCCATCATCCTCTGATTTACACCGCGGGCAACCACTAGCCCTTAAACCTCACCTTCTTTCAGTGGGTCCACATGAACATCGATCTGGGGCCAGCTGGGGAGAAGCTGCAGCTGCAGGGGTGTGCTGAGACAACTGGAGTGGGTATCCCCGGGTGGCAGATGGAGTCCCACACAGGAGGCAGACGACCCCTGTCTGCCACGACCCCAAGGTGGCGGTCGTGCTGCCTTACAGAGACCGTCCTGCACCACCTGGTCATCCTGCTGAGCTGGCTAAAACCTGTCCTCAGAAAGCAGCAGCTGGAATACACCATCTATGTCGCTGAGCAGGTCAGTAGCAACTCGGTGAATATCCTCAGCTTGAAAATCACAATGTTTTGTTTCGGCAAAGTTTCGCTCTTTGCAGAAAATCAAAGATCAGTCAAAACAGTTCTGGTAAACCCTTTTTGCGGTGGTTTAGAAAACCGACAAGCTGAATGAGGGCACTTGTGCAAAACTGTCTCAATTCTTCAATTTGTTGTGGTTTTATACACTGGACTGTGGGCGGCGGGTACTAGCAGGTTAATCGAACAGGTTCGAATCCCGGCAAGGGTAGTCTTCTGTAAGCAAAATTACAGAGCGTCCAGTCAGGCCCGTTTTCCAAGCCTGAGCTGCGAAACTGGAAAGTTCGCCTGCCAGAGCAGCTATTAAAAAAAAGTAGAGGGAGGTTTGAGCTTGCTACCACCTGCAGCTCACAAGACTGCCATCCCCACGAGCCCCTTTGGGGCGGGGCAGATGGTAGACCAGTGGCCTAGCTTCTCCCCACGAGCCCCGTGAAAGGGGGGGGACTGTGGCTAGGCCTGGGGACACTTGGTCCCAAAGATGAGGGGGTACTTGTACCTCCTCCCATGGGAGACTTAGGTCTCGAGATACTCCCCAGATAGGGAGCCAAGGCCGGGTCACCACTACTTGGAAAAGACCCGGGCCGGGAGAATACCGGCGAATAAAAAAAAAACGGGTAGAGAGAGAGAGAGAGAAACACCGACAATGGCTCATACCGAGTTCTCTCATAGATAGAACTCAGTGTGTGTTGATCATCCTGAGGCTAGTGCGAGACTGACCTCCAGACCTCTGTGTAGGTATAAGGTCAACCATCCTGACACTCAACCCCTCACCTTGATTGGTTAACGTTTACAAGTGGTAGTTATCAGCGGATATATTGCGGGAGCCCCGTCACCTGTGCGTCAAGCTAGCGGCTTTTTCTTGATTATGCATGGTATGTAGGATGTGTGGTGCACACAAAATAAAGGTGATGTGCTCGGTGCACGCCGCAAGTTCTAACCTCAATGGCATCATTTAGCTCAAGAAGTGGAGGCTTGATCCTCAGTTTGGTACTCGCACTAGGCACACTACCTATCTACCAGCCTACTTACCTACCTTGCTTCCCTACCCCACCTTGCTGCCTACCTACCTTGCTGCCTACCCACCTTGCTGCCTTTCGTACCTTGCTACCTACCTACCTTGCTTTTCTACCTACCTACCTTGCTGCCTACCTACCTACCTTGCTTCTTACCTACCCTGCTACCTACCTACCTAGCTTCCTACCTACCCTGCTACCTACCTACCTAGCTTCCTACCTACCCTGCTACTTACCTACCTTGCTTCCTACCTACCCTGTACCCACCTTGCTTCCTACCTACCCTGCTACTTACCTTGCTTCCTACCTACCCTGCTACTTACCTACCTTTTTCTTACCTACCCTGCCTACCTACCTTGCTACCTACCTACCCTGCTTTCCCACCTACCTTGCTTCCTACCTTCCCTGCTACCTACCTACCTTGCTTCCTACCTACCTGCTACCTACCTACCTTGCTACCTACCTAGCTACCTTTCTACCTACCTACCATGCTTCCTACCTACCCTACCTACCTACCTTGCTTCTTACCTACCCTGCTACCTACCTACCTTGCTACCTACATACCTTGCTACTACATACCTTGCTACCTACCTACCCTGCTACCTACCTACCTTGCTACCTACCTACCTTGCTACCTACATACCCTGCTAAATACCTACCTTGCTACCTACCTACCCTGCTACCTACCTACCTTGCTACCTACCTACCCTGCTACCTACCTACCCTGCCCACCTACCTACCCTGCTACCTACCTACCCTGCTACATACCTACCCTGCTACCTACCTACCCTGCTACATACCTACCCTGCTACATACCTACCCTGCTACCTACCTACCCTGCTACTAACCTACCTGCTACCTACCTTACCCTGCTACATACCTACCCGCTACCTACCTACCCTGCTACCTACCTACCCTGCTACCTACCTTACCCTCTACCTACCTACCCTGCTACCTACCTACCCTGCTACATACCTACCTGCTACCTACCTACCCCGCTACCTACCTACCCTGCTACCTACCACCCTGCTACAATACCTACCCTGCACCTACCTACCCTGCTACCTACCTACCCTGCTACCTACCTACCCTGCTACCTACCTACCCTGCTAACCTACCTACCCTGCTACATACCTACCCTGCTAAAATACTACCCTGCTACATACCTACCCTGCTACCTACCTACCCTGCTACCTACCTACCCTGCTACATACCTACCCTGCTACCTACCTACCCTGCTACCTACCTACCCTGCTACATACCTACCCTGCTACATACCTACCCTGCTACATACCTACCCTGCTACATACCTACCTGCTACCTACCTACCTGCTACCCACCTACCCTGCTACCTACCTACCCTGCTACATACCTACCCTGCTACATACCTACCCTGCTACATACCCACCCTGCTACAATACCTACCCCCGCTACCCACCTACCCTGCTACATACCTACCTGCTACCTACCCCACCCTGCTTTCCCACCTAAACCTGCTACATTTCCTACCCTGCTACATACCTACCCTGCTACATACCTACCCTGCTACATACCTACCCTGCTACATACCTACCCTGCTACATACCTACCCTTCTACATACCTACCCTGCTACATACCTACCCTGCTACATACCTACCTGCTACCTACTCCCTGCTACATACCTACCCTGCTACATACCTTACCCTGCTACATACCTACCCTGCTACCTACCTACCCTGCTACCATACCTCCCTGCTTCCTACCTACCCTGCTACCTACCTACCCTGCTACATACCATACCCCGGGTACCTTTCCTACCCTGCTACCCTACCTACCTGCTACCTACCCACCCTGCTACTACCTTTCCCTGCTACATACCTACCCTGCTACATACTACCCTGCTACCTACTACCCTACCTACCTACCCTGCACCTACCTACCCTGCTACCTACTACCTGCTACAATACCTACCCCTGCTACATTTCCTACCCTGCTACCACCTACCCTTGGCTAATACCTACCCTGCAAAATACCCACCCTGGGTACCTACTACCCTGCAAACCCAACTACCCTGTACTACCTACCCTGCTACCATACCTACCCTGCTACTAACTACCTGCTACCTAAACCCAACCTGCTACATACCTACCTGCTACCTACCTACCCTGCTACCTACCTACCTCCTGATGTACCAAACTTCTTAAGGAAAATCCAGTTCATTATGCAATTTGAATCTTCAGCAAAAAAAAAAAAAACTAAGTAAAATATTAAGAAATGAAAATATTAAGCGTACTTAAGGTAGAGAAGACTGACGATAACGACATAAAAGAGGATTTGAACATGAATGGTACACAGTACAGACAAGATGAAGACTTAGGCATGTGCAAACAACTGAATATCTTCATTTGTAGACGTTTCGCCCTCCAGTGGCTTTATCAGTATAATACAAGGACGGTCTTCACATTATGCCCTTGTATTGATAAAGCCACTGGAGGGCGAAACAACTATAAATGAAAATACCCAGATGTTTCACATGTGTCTAATTCTTCATACGGAAGGAGAAGTACTGCAGCAGGCCTACTGGCCCATGCTAGGCACGTCTAATTCACACTCGCCCATACCCATCCATGTACCTGCTTCAGTGACGCTACCCGAGAGTTCCACTCGTCTACAACACTCTTACTTTCCTATAACCTCTCTAAATCTAAATTTCACCACCAACATGAATCCATTGCTGCGAACACAATAATAAGACTGTAGGGCGGAACCTGACCTTCAGTTACTTGTTTCTGTAATGATTTGACAACACTAATAATAATAATACTATTATTAAAACCTGCAGTTTCCTCCCAGCTGCCGTTCGTTCATCTTTACCTGATTAAGTTACGTTTGGTTAGATAATCGTTTACTAATCTATATGGCTCACAAAATCTTATTAACACGATTACCAACAAATCACAGAACGGGTGAGACTCGAACCCATGGCAGGGTTCTGACCAGCACTAGTGAATTATTGCCGGATGTCGACACAAGTGGAAATAAACAAATAATGATCTATCTATAAGTAATATAATGAGTGACAAGGATATATATGTGCAGTGACATAGTGAACTAAATTGTAGATAAGAGTATCTTAATTATCCCCCAGTATAGCGTACAATATATAGTGTAGATAGGGGAATATCTTACAAGCGACTGGCACTAGCGAACTATTGCCAGAGGTCCAGTGAAGTGTTAATAACGGATGAGTAATTACTATAGCCCACAAGAGATAAAACGAGTGGGGGTAGTTTAAAGGTCCCGGGAATAACCATAAAAAATTGTTTCATAAAACCTTTAACCCTCAAACAAACGAAATAAACTTTCCATAGAAGTGTGGGGGAAAGTTGGGTTTTGGCCACTGCTGCGTAAAAAAAAAAAAAAAATTTGACCCCAGTATAGCACGGGTAAAAAATGTATTTTGAAAAAAATTAAAAGGTGAATACCTTGAGAAAACCAGTGTAAAAGCACTACAAAAAAAGGAAATTAAATAAAAAATAAAATAATAATAATAATAAAAATTAATAATAATAATAAAAAAATAGGAAGTGGGGGCATTGGGGTAAGTTTTTGCCCTCACACCCCCCAAACACCCACCACCCCCCTACACCCACCACCCCCCCCCTCCCACCCACCACCCACTCAAACAAAAACCACTCACTTTACTGTAAATTTGGGTTCGTAAAAAAATACTTTTGCATATTACTGGCACCACAAGAAAAAGGGTAAAGGGGAAAATCATTTTTTTTCCTGGCAAACAGTGTAGAAAGGATACAAAACAGGATGTCTGCACACTATCTGTGGGACATTTTAAAAAATTTCCCTTGGGAAAGGGAAAAACCGAATCAAATGCCCTAGCTCTTCCAAAACCAAATCTCTTGTACTAACTAATCCCAGCCTCAAAAAATAAACCTT